TACGTAGAGCACTGTGGCCTTCAGCTGCAGTCCCCATCTGCAGAGAACCGACACCACCCTCCCTCCCTTCCCCGCCCTGCAGCCGCTCACAGAAGCCCCGGAAGGTGCTGTACGTGGTGTTCCACCGGAGACGCTGGCCCGACTGGGTTGGCTTGGTGCCCTACCCACTTTAAGCTTTGTCTTCTTGCTGGGGCTCGGCGCGTGTGTCAGGACCTTATGGCCTAGCCTTATGGATGGAGTCTGATAGGGACCTATTATTTAGAAAACTCTTTGGACTGCTGACCTCTCAACCCAGTCACTTCATCATCCCCAGTACGCTTGGTCTAGGGGACCATGGCTCAGCTACGTCCCTTCACGTAGACAAGTGTCTAAGTTGCAAGCTACTTGCCCACACCATTGGGGATAAAGAGGTTCCTTCAGTCTTTCCTGGACAAGAGTCACTTTATTTGGAGACCAGGTGCATGGAGTGAGGGTGGCAGCACCATGCCTACCCAGACTGGGTACCCACTGAGTGCCTTTCCACCTTCCGTGGTCAATGAGTGTGAGAAAGGTCTACCTTAAGCTTTGTGGTTTACCTGGTATAGTCTAAGAACCAGGAGATCCAGCATTACCTGGAAAAGGTGTTAAAATGCAGGTTCCCAAAAGGCTGCATCAAACCAACTCAATCAGAATCTTGCAACTTGGGGCACTTGGGTGACTCAGTGGGTAAAGTGTCTGCCTTCGGCTGGGGTCATGATCCCAGGGTCCTGGGATCCAGCCTCAGAATGAGCCGGGAATCACATGGGGCTCCTGCTCAGTGGGTGGGGGGTGGGGGGGTGGAATCTGTTTGTCCCTCTTCCTCTGCTGCTTCCCCCCACTTATCCACTCTCTCTCTCAAATGAATAAATGAAATCTTAAAAAAAAAAAAAAGAATCTTATAACTTATTTGATGGCAAATATTTATGGTTTAAAAAGCATATTTTTGGGGCACCTGGGTGGCTCAATGGGTTAAAACCTCTGCCTTTGGCTCAGGTCATGCTCCCAGGGTCCTGGGATCAAGACCCACATCGGGCTCTCTGCTCAGTGGGGAGACTGCTCCCCCCCGCCCTGCCTGCCTCTCTGCCTACTTGCCATCTCTCTGTCAAATAAATAAATAAAATCTTTTAAAAAAAAGCATATTTTTTGTGTCCCTCGTTCCCTTCAATTCAGAGCACATTGTAAGTCTTAATAGATGCAGATTTATAAGTTGGATTCAGATGTATATATTCATTTTATAAAAACCTTTTATGTCAATTTTCCTTTAAATTAATACTTTCCAAAATGTACTTTGATTTGCAAGAGTCAGACCAGTCAAGACTTTGATACAGTGAAAAAGTGCTCGGTCCCCTTATTTTATGCCAGGAGGCCCAAGGGAATGACCTAGCAATTCCTAGACCTCAACCTAAGGAATTTTATTTTAAAAATAGAGATTGTAGGGGCACCTGGGTGGCTCAGTCTACTAAGTGTCTGACTTTTGATTTTTAGCTGGGGTCATGATCTTAAGCTTGTGGGATTGGGCCCCATGCCAGGCTCCACACTCAGCAAGTCGGCTTGAGATTCTTTCTCCCTGTCTCCCTCTGCCCATCCCCCACTCCAGCACCTGTTCTTGCTCTCTCCCCTCTGTCTCTCTCAAATAAATAAATCTTTAATAAAAAAAAAAAAGTACCTTTACCTAAAGTATTGAAAGATAAAATGATTTGATATCTGGGATTTGCACCCCAATAATCCCAGTGCTGGGAATGGGTAATGATAGAGAAGAAACAAATGTGTCAAAAACTGTTGAAACTGACTGATGGGTACATTATACTATTCCCTCTACCTTTCCATATGCTCGAAATTTTCCCAAATTAAAGGTTTAGGGAAAAATAAACTTTTTCTGGGGCACCTGGGTGGGTCAGTGGGTTAAGCCTCTGCCTTCAGCTCAGGTCATGATCTCAGTCAGGGTCCTGGGATCAAGCCCCACATTGGGCTCTCTGCTCAGCTGGGAACCTGCATCACTATCTCTCTCTGCTTGCCTCTCTGCCTACTTGGGATCTCTCTCTCTCAAGTACATAAATAAAATCTTTAAAAAAATAAAAGATAAAGATTAAAAAAAATTAACTTTTTCTGGTGATTCGAATGCAGCAGGCTATGGAACCATATTGAAGATTCACTGGCATAACCCCTTTGAAGCTTTCCTTTCTTACAGCAATGATCTTAAAGGAAGTTTTTGTTTTTTGTTTTAAGATCTTATTTATTTATTTGACAGAAAGATCACAAGTAGGCAGAGAGGCAGGCGGGGGAGTGGGGGTGGGGGGGGAGCAGGCTCCCGTTGAGCAGAAAGCCTGATGCAGGACTCTATCCCAGGACCTTGGGATCATGACCTGAGCGGAAGGCAGAGGCTTTAACCCACTGAGCCACCCAGGGGCCCCTTAAAGGAAGTTTTTGATCAAGAGCCTTCCATACTACCCTTAAGTGTTCTGGTTTTCGAGAATAAGCAGAGCCCTTTGTGTGGCCAAGTAGAGACCTTCCCATTTGCAATCAAGAGATACGTCCCTGGAATTAAAACTTTGTCTACTAGCTTTGACTGCCTTCCCTGTTCTTTCCGATAAGAGATCAGTCCAGAAGATAGTGGACTGATACGCCTTTTCTCACGTTATCAGCAACCTGGAGGCAGAATGTGGACACGTTGTAATACTGATTCTTGTGATTTCAAAATGATGGAGACCTCTCTCTTTCTGTCCGAAAATTCCATCGGTCATGGCCTATCGGAAGATACCTCAGGACTATAAAGAAAAGCAAGTGTGTGATTACCAAAAAAAAGGCACAACAGTGGCTACCTCCAAGGAGTGGGCCCTCTGAGGCTTCCAGGGGCTGGCAGTGTTCTCTTCCTTGCCTTGCACAGTCCCAACACAGAATTGCATTATGCAGCAGTTTCTTAAATCTATAGCCCGTTTTGTTTATTTGTGTGTAATATACACAATTTGTGTAGGGGCCGCTTTTAGGCAAACGGGGACCCCCCCCCTCAAAATATCCATAGGCCCGAAGTAACCAATGGGCCACTTATAACACGGCACAAGTACCAAAAAGGGGGAAGTTTCCATACCTCACCACACTGCCTCACCTTCCTCCTTTATACACAGCAGCCACCCCTGCCTCCTTGCAGACAGCCTGGCCTCTGCTGTCTTGCCCTCTGCTCCCTTCCAGGTATATTCAGTAAACTTCTATCTCCTTTATTCTGCCTCAGGTGATTTTTTCTTTTTTTTAAAGTAGGCTCCGTGCCCAGTGTGGGGCTTGAACTCATGACCCTGAGATCAAGAGTCACATGCTCAGGGTGCCTGTGTGATTTAGCAGGTTAAGAGTCTGCCTTCAGCTCAGGTCATGACCTTGTGGTTCTGGGATGGAACCGATGTCGGGCTCCCTGCTCAGCAGGGAGTCTGCTTCTCCCTCTCCCTCTGCGACTCACCCTTGCTTGTGCTTGCTCTCTCCCTCTCTCAAATAAATACATAAAATCTGAAGAAGAAGAAGAAAAAGAAGAAGAGGAGGAGGAAGAGTCACATGCTCTATCAGCTGAACCAGCCAGATGTCCCGCCTCAGGTGAATTCTTGTCACGACCCGCAACACTGACTTCCACACATTGTCACCCCACATGTGGGGGCCCTCATCCTCTCAGGAGATACATCCCACTTAGACACCATAATTGGTTTAAAAAAATAGTAACTTTAGAAAGGATTAGAAATAAGAGAAAATTTTAAAAATTCAAAGTTAGGGACTGAGTTAGTCTTGGTCCCAGAATAAAAATGGACAAAGGTGTGATGGGTTTGAAGCACTTTTGTAAAGTGAGCTCCACAGGACACTAGTTCTGGATGACATCACGTGAATGAATAAGCTGGGAAATGTTGGGTTAAATACTCAATCCACCAGGAAATATCAAGCGGCGGCATTTCAAACACCATTAACTAGATGGACCGATCACTGTCTAAGGTTAAATAGCCTTCTTTATGGCAGGACTGCTCAGAGCTCTTACCTTGCTGCTGTGTTCTCAATGTTGAAAAATTGGGACAGACTCTGCAGTGTTTCTCAAATGCGTAAGTCTGCAGCATCTCAGACCCAGTAAGTCCCTCCTTGGATCCGCTCAGCCTCACCTCTCTACTGGCTCCTTGGCTCCTTGTTCCCTGAGACCCTGGAAGCTATTTCGGCCTTGGTCTCTGCCTCACCCATCCCCTAGCTCTGGTGGCTGGCTTGGCCAGGCTCCCGCAGAGCCACTCTTGGGCCGCCCGAGGTGAGAGCAGCAGCCACGCCAGCACCCATGTCAAGCCAGCACCCATGTCCAACCTAACTGGGCCCAGAGGCTCCGCTCATCCCAACACTGCAGTCAGGTGCGCCTTTTAGCCTCCCCCCGCCCCCCGCACCCCTGCAGCTGCCCCAGGCGGGGGTGGGGGGGGTGGGGGGTGACCCGGAAGTGCAACCCCGAAGTGCAAGGGAATTAACACTCTGGGAGGCAGACTTATATACTGAGATGGAGACAGAATTCCCTCCCTCCTTCCCTCTGATGAACTGGTTTGAGCAGTGTTGTGTTCCTTAGGACCTGCTAGAAACATCTCAGGGACTGAGCAAGCAGCAGGAGGTCTCTTGGTGATGCCGTGGCAGGCTCAGTGATGCCCCAAGTCCCATGTCATATTTGCTTCCCTCCTTTCCTGTCCCGCTGCCACTTCCCGCTCCTCTGGCTGCCCTGGGATCGCACTGAGGCTACAGCATTGAGGCTTTGCTTCCGTCCCAGTGTTAGGGAGGACCAGAGAACAAGGCACTAAACCTGTTTCTAGAGGACCCCCTCTCAGGGTCAGTTTTCCATGCCCCTCCCAGTGGGAAATGCTATTTTAAAGAATTTCTTCTTTGGTGGGGTGGAAACCAAGCCGCGGCACACTTCTCATCAGGCCGTCCGTCCATCCGCTCTAAGATCATCTCTCCAGAACAACAGGCTGAATGAAACCCCAGCTCTTTGGTAATAACAGAAAGAGAGCGCTGTGCATTTATTGAACAACATGTAACACAAACTCAGGTGCCATCCCCTACGTCAGCGATGGGCTTTGACACCTGTTCGGTACAGTATCCCTTTCTAGGCCTGTGAGTGATCCCCAGCCCTCCCTCCCAGGAAAGGAAAAGGGCAGCTTTGTCAGCCTGACTTCCCTCCCCTCTTTCTAACAATAGCTGGTCACACAATGACCAGGCATTATCATACAAAAGTTCCTTTACAAAAAGCACCAATTGGCATACATATACAAGTATATACAAAAAAATCACATTTAAAAAATGTACAAAATATTCCATTTTGCACCAACGTAGAAAAGTGTCCTGTGTGGTTGTTTCAAGCACATTTCCAATTCTGGTTCAGTGGCTGCTGGACACAGCAGTGGGGGTCCTACTGTTAGTCCCTGCTCTCTGAGTGGAGAGAAGACACACCTTCGCATTGTCCCTCCAGGGGCCCTGACCTCTCCCTCCCTGGGCCTGTCACCAAGGCGGCTGCGCCCCTCCCCACCCTCCCCAGCATCTCTGCATCCAGAAGGTCTCTCCCTCATCCAGTTCCTTACTGGTGTCCTGCAAGAAAAAGACAAAGAAACACAAGGTGAGACAGGGCACAGGGGGATCCAGGGTTTACCAAACTCCAGTGACAAAATTATCAGACTCCAATTCCTTCCGGGCCTCTGCCTTCTTAAAGAAAAATAGAATTTAGTCGTCAAAACACGATGGATTGCAGATCCAACACAAAACTCCGAAAGAGTATCCTGTATTTTTCAACTGGATTGGAATTTAGTTCCAATAGTAACTTGGCTTGAAAAATCCTATTAGCAAACATGTGCTAATCAGCAAACACGTCCTTTCTATGCGCCACTATGTTAAATGATCACATCTACTCTTCACCAGAACCTTTTGAGGTCAGTAGTATCACTCCCGAGTGCACAGATAGGTAGCCTGAGACTCTGAAAAGTTGTGAGCAGCCCAAGATTATACCATTCGTTTTTGGGAAAGCTGCCATTCAGAACCCAGGCACTTAACCAGCTCTGCGGCCCAAAGAGTTTTCTAAATGACTTGCGGGAGGGCACGTGGGTGATCAGATGCTCCCAGGAGCGGGCAGAGGACCAGACTGAGTGGCAGTGGTGGGCGGAGCAAACTGGCAGAGGGGGCGGTCCCTACCCAGCGCCCGCTCTCTGGGATTGGTGGGGCGGGTGGGGGCAAGCATTGTTAGCTCTTCCCAAATTTTTACAAGAAGGTAGAGGTCCAGATTCTTAGTTGAAAGTTCCTTAAAACAAAACAAAGCAAAAAACAGGGGCGCCTGGTTAAGCCTCCAACTCTTGATTTTGGCTCACGTCACAGTCTCAGGGTCGTGAGACTGGGCATGGAGCCTGCTTGGGATCCTCTTTCTCCCTTTCCTCTCTCCTCTCTCTCTCTCTCTTAAAAAACAAAAAACCTCTCCCCCATCTCCTAATTTTTTAAATGTTGGCCACTAATTTTTAAAAATTTAAACATTGTGCTGGCCAGACAAAAGTTAGCGGGCCTAGCCTGGCTCATAACTCCCTTGTCTTTTACGTTTTTTATGTTACACTGTATTGCTTTCCACTCAGGAAGATCATTTAGAGAGCTTTCTATTGTGAATAATTTTGGGGGTTTTTTTTGTTTGTTTGTTTTTTGGTTTTTGGTTTTTTTTCTCTCAGGATAAAGAGAACAGGACTTTACCCTCAGAAGGGATAAAACACATATCAGGGCCATCACTACATACTGGCCTCATCCCCGGGGTCCAGCATAGGACTTTGCATACAGTCAGGATTTCGTGGTGTTGAATGACTGAACGAACAAACAAACGATGAATTTCTTACCTTCTTCCTTTCTCTCTGTGGACTCTTCCCCTTCCTGATCTTCTTCTTCTTCAATGAACTCTTCCTCTTCCTCATCTGTGTGTGACAAAGAACCACTGTATTAGGATGGGGCCAGCTCCTCAGAAGAGCTTCTCGAAGGGGCACCAGGCTGGAGACAGCACTTATCCAAACCCCTGCTGACCCCCAGTTGAGACCCCATGGCCATGTGGTGACATGAGTGGTTCCGGAGGTGACAAGCTTGCCGAACCTAAGCTACACGGAGACCCACTTCCTCCTCCCCCTGGCATCCTCCTTCCTTCTCACACCCCTCCAAAGGAGGGAGGTTCAGCACACCTCTGTTCTAGTAGCAACAGCAGCTCCTATCGCTTGACCTGCCAGTGTCCAGAGGGGACTTTGGGGGGAGCACGCTTTGTGCTTCTGCAGGCCTCCCATTTAGACAGAGACACACCACCTGAGGAGACCCGACTCCCTGGGTCTCAGGGATCAGAGTCCTTGTCTTGCAGGAATTTGCCCAGTCTTTGAAATATGCTTGCCTAGCACTCCTTGTCCAGTTTTCCTCATTCCACAGCCTACAAAGGGGTGGCTGGGGGTGGGGGATGCTCCTGGGCCATCTCCTTGATAGTTCTTTGAAACTGAGCCCCAGACAGACAGGCGGCGACCTATGTCCTCACCTTCCCATCCCGGGACATCGCCGTCAAGCTCCACTAACAGGGAATGTGTCTGTTCTCCACCCCCACCCTCTCCCAAGCCACTTCCTTAATGCTTTGGGGCCCTGCGGGAATCACCAGAGAGCAGGGCATTTGTCAAGAGTGTGTAGGGAGAGGTTTGAAAGAGTTCATGCCTCCAAAACATCAGTCCAGTTTCCAGCTACATAGCCGGGACCTGTGCATAACCCAGTGGGTTTTGTTGTTGTTGTTGAATTATTATCACAATTAAGTGCTCTTAGCAGCATCTGCGAGCACTTACTATGTGCCAAATGTTGTGCCAAGCATCGTGTGTGTGCGCGGGCACACACGCGCACGCCAAACGCATTACACGCATCGTCTCATAGACTCCTCCCTAGGGTGTTGGGAGTCAAATCCCTTGGTGGAGTCTGCTTGGGCTACTTACTCGCTGTGTGGCCTCCAGCAAATTACTGACCCTCTCTTAGCTTTATTTCCTTAACTACAAAATGGAGACAACAATAGAAACTATCTCATTAAGTTAAATGACAGAATTTAACGAGTGGGGTATTTTGGAATTCTGAGTATAGCTTCAACATCAGATTCTGAAAGCCTGTGTGGGACGGGCCAGCTCTGTCTTTCCCAGTGGGTCATTGGAGCATCGCCTCTCAAATCAGTACAACACTTGGCAAAATTGGATCCGCTCTCTCTTTCTAAATAGCTACCTTGCAACTGTGTGACCTTGGGCAAATCATTAAATCTTTGCTCTTCATCTGGTTTCCTCATTTCCCCTTATTACTTTCTCCTAATTATTGTTATGGTTATGTTGTTATAATTATTATAGGTACTCTGTGGTAGAGTAATTACAAACAGAAATGAGGACATAATAACAGGTAAATTAAGGTGCCCAAGTATCAAAGATGGTAGGATTAAGAAGCGGAAGCTAAGCCCAGCCTTATAACTACTTTTTATCTAGTACTCCCTGCATCGCTATCTTATCTGTTGCAAGAGCACCCTGGTGTGGTCACGACGAGTAGGCCCACGTTTTAACTTAATTTTTAAAGTTAGAAAATGCAGTTCAGGGGCGACTGGCAGATGCAGGCAGAGGAGCGCATGACTCTTGATCTCAGGGTCATGACTTTGAGCCCCATGGTGGGTGGAGAGATTACTTAAAATAAATAAGAATTTAAAAAGAAAAAGAAAATGCAGCTCAGAGAAGGAGAGGGGCTCACCAAAGGTCACACAGATAACAAGTAGCAGAACGAATATTTGAACTTAATCTGCCTGACTCCAGTTGCCGTGTGCCTCCCAGCAGCAGGTCCATCTGTAATTGACTGAGCGATAACTATGTGCCAGGTGCTGTGCTAGGCTCTGGGCTCTTGAAGAACTTGGCTGTCGGAGTTTGGCTGTTTACTAGTGTACCTGCGTCCAGGTGGGGCTCAATGGAAGGGAAGCAGATTACCAGGGGTGAAATAGACATGTTATTGGGGAAATATTATTAATATTATAATATAATATATATATATAATATAATATAATATTATAATATTATGTTATATATTATAATAATATTATTATATTATGTTATATATTATAATAATATTATAATATTATTTTACTATATATTATATTAATATTATAATTAATATAATTAGTGTTATCAGGGAAATAGACATGTGGCACTGCCACCTCCTTTACCTGTCCCAAAGTCGATGGCCCTAAGGGTGTCTGCTATGTGATCCAAGTCCAAAGTAAAGTAGTCCATGTTTTCAAAGCCCTGTTCTGTCTTCCCCAGCTGGCAACCCTTGGAAGCTTCCACAATGCTGTGGGGGTGGGAGAGAGAGAAAGGAGGGGCAGGGTGAGAGAAGGGGGTGTCTTAGCTCCAGTTCACATCAGTGCATGTAGCTACGCCCACACCTAGGCTTTGCACCTAGAGGCTCCCCTGGAGGGTGGGGTATTTCTCTCTCACAAAAGGCAGGGGATGCAAAGGCCAGGAAAGCTAGACTGCTGAGACTTTCCCAGCCGACCTCATGCACAGGGGGAGGCCCACTGGACAGAGATCAGAGGCCCTGGTGGGGCCTTGGATCATAGTCCTGGAGAGATACTGACCTTTTGATGAGTTGCTTAGCACTCTGTTGGGGGAAAGAGAGAGAGAGCGAAGGGTTAGGAATACAGAAGAAGTGGCCCCAAGAAATCAGCAAAAACAGTGACTGGGCCACAGGTGGGCCCTTGGTGCCATTCCGCAGCCTCAGTGGGACCTGCTCCCTGCCCTGACTTGAACAGCACTTGGGTTTTTTCCTTCTGTTCATGGTCTGCATGGGTTTTGGTCATCACTCTAGGACCTTTCCTTGGTCATGGCAGGAAGCTTGGATTTTCAGAGTATCATTCTAAACACTCTTAAACCCCCAAGTCTCCAAGATGAGAGTCATACCCTAATCACCTTTTTATGCCCAATGTCTAGCCCAAACCCCGGTCCACAGTATGTGCTTGGAAATTTTTATTGAGCTGTGAAATCTTATCGTTGATCCTTTTCTGTGCTCCCCCAACAAGCTTTTCTAGGGCAGGGCTGTGTCTCGTTCATCTCTGTTGTCTCTGCTTCTGTGGTTGACCCATAGAATGTTCTCGATGAACAGTCTACATGGACACTGTATTTCGCAGTTTACAAATACGAGGATGTTTCACAAACATCCTCGTATTTGATCCTCACAAAATGGGTTAAGAGGAAAGAAGGTAGGAATCATTGTGCGCCCATTTTACAGACGAGGACACTGAGGCTTAGCACCTTAAATGGCTTTCCCAGGAGCACATGGGTGACCAGTGACAGAGCATGACTTGCCCTTTAGTCAGACCCGTTGGTTGAAGTGACCGCCCACACCCTTCTGTTCCGCTCACCAAGAGGAATATGGCCCCACCAGGCTCGTCCAGGGACTGGATGGCCGTCTCCACCAGCTTAGTGGACTTGTCCAGCTGTTCCCGGTACTGCTGGATGAGAGCCTCGATGAAGCTGAGCTTCTCCTCCTGCTCCCGTGTGATCCGCTGTAGCAGCTCGCTCTTCTTCTCGTCCAAGATGGCGTACAGTACGTCAAACTTCTGGCTCAGCTCTTCCTTCACCTGGTGACTGTTCTCCTGGGGACAGAATTCTCGGAGTCGCACCTTGTGGGGTCCTCCTCCCTATTCCGGGCACTTCCTTCCTGGGATGGGTGTGCTAGGAATCAGAGGTCTGAAGCTGGGAGAGATCTATGTCCCCATTTTGCAGAAGACAAAATGAAGGCTTAGCAAAAAGAAAGCACTTGCTGAGGTCTCATAGCTTCTTAGCACACCAATAACGTTTGGAGGCTGGTGTCATGGAGAAAGCTAGCCCCTTCGTCAAAAATAGAGACTCCAGGGTCAGATGGGATGATCTACTCGGGGCCCTCTATGTGCGCCCAAGTCACTCTCTTCCTCCCCACAACCCCATTTTAGGATCATGACTGGATTCAGGAAGCTCTGCCTCAGTTGGTCCTAGCAGGGCCTCTTCTAGTGGCCTCCTCATTGAGGCTCCCTTCTCTCCAACACAGATGCTACCTCTTAGTTTGCTTACCTGTAAAATAGGAATAGTAATAGTATCTCATCAGACTAGGGGCCTCTATTACCCTCTCTCAGACTGGGAGCATCTCATGAGTAGTAGCAATGCACCCCTCTTTCCCTTGAAGCCTCCCTTCACACAACTCTTCGTCCACCAGGAGTAGGATGATCCTTCCCCCCATCTCCTCTCCAGCTCCCCCACCTCAAGTGGAGATGGAAAATCACAGCTGCTTTTGCAGAGATAGAAAATTTTCTTTCTGCTTCTATAGTCTTGCTACTCACAGTGTGGGCCATGGACCCACAAGCTGGGCAACACCCCAGGAGTTTGTTAGAAATGCAGAACCTCATGCCTCTCTCCAGACCTACTGAATCAGAACTTGAATTTTAACAGGATCCCAGGGTGATCTGAACCACTTTTAAGTTTGAGAAGCTTTAGTCTACGACACATTGAAGACAACACTCTGGAAACTATTAATGCTGAAGAAATACTGAGAATTATTGCTGGGATGCTCCCTGAGGTCAGGGATCAGGTCTGTCTTGGTCACCACCCCATCCCCAGCGCCTTTGGCAGGGCCCGGCCCACAGCTGTGCTCCAGAAGCCTTTGGTGAATGAGTGGTTGAATGGAACAGTTGGTCCCCACCCCACCAACCCCGCTTGAACACCCCAGCCTCTAGGCCCCAACCAGCAGCCACTACCCCCAGGTGAACCTTGACCTCAGAAACCAGGTTGCCCCGAGAGGCTTCAGACCCCCAGACAGAACTCCTTTCCCCCTCACCTTGGTCACTCGACAGGAGTCTTCCAGCTGAGTGATGATGGTCTGCACGCGGTCGTTCCCTGCCACCAGCATGGAGATACAGTTACTCAGCTCAGTCTAGTGGCAGGAGGGGTGGGGTGGGGGATCAGGAGAGGAGAGACAGAAATAGTCTCAGAGCCTGTCTTCTCGGGGGTGGCACCCGCCCTCCCCTCTCTGCCAGAAAAAGCCTCTTTCTGAGCTGCCGCTCGGGGCCAGAGCAGAGAACATCAGAGAGATACTGCATCCCTGATGTTATAGATGAGGCCCAGAAAAGGGGACATGACCAAAATACAACAGCAATGTACTGTCAGAGGAGGGGTCTGTTTCTAGGAAAGAAGGGACGCAGAAAAGAAATAGAGTTGGAAAGTTCTAGAAGAGAGAGATCAAGAGAAGAGTGGGAGGCAAGGAAGAAGTGTCCAGAAAGAGGGGCCACAGCTTAGTGCATGGGAAGGATGATGGGACTCCCGCAGGCCTGGGGGCCCCGGTGGGGGGTGGGGGTGGGTTCTGGGTCACTTTCTGCCACAGGAGAGGTAATCAGCACAGCACAGAGGTATCTGGGACCCGAAGCACCCTGGGATTTAGAAGTCGTGGCCTGAGAGGACCCTGGTGGCCTGACCCAGGGGTCTGGTCGCTCCCCTGTGACCACACCCAGGTGCTCTCAAGTGGCTCTAAGTATAACCCATGAGCTCAGCCACCTCCTCCTGTGGCCTGGGAAGTCCCTCCACAGGGACTATTCCTGAAAGTCCGGCTCAGCAGATCGACAGGGATCAAATCCACATCCTGAATCCTCCAGCCATGCCCCGCAGGCCCAGGCTGGGGGTGGAGGCCACCCTGGCCAGTACCTTCTGTCCCTGGAAGACACTCTGCAGCGGGGCCACCTCGCAGGCCTTGTGAGCCCCAAACACCTTGCACATGGAGCACGTGGGCATCTCACACGTGAGGCAGTAGATGTTGATTTTCTCGTCCTCGTGCTCCTTGCACATGGGGTGGCTGCCCTTCTGCAGGGGCCGACTGCAGTGGAGAAGAAGCGCAAGTCAGATGGGGGAGGCCCTGTCTCCTCCCCAGCTCCAGTGCCCCCTCACCCCCGATCTAGGGCCTGAGCTCTCAGTGACTGGCTGTCTCCAGTCCTCTTCATTTTCTGGAGACCCAGAAACAAGAAAGCCAGTGACACCAAGGCTGTCCTCATGTCCTGGGACTCTGATGTTGGTGGTGGGCCTTAGGCCCCGCCAGTGCTGAACATGGGAAAGGCTGTAGAATCCCAGGGTTGGAACTGGACAGAAAGGTGAACTGACTTGCCCAAGGTCACCCATCCGGTCAGGGCAGGGGAGACAAGAGTGCACTTGCTCTAATTATAGCCCCTGTAGCTCTTGGTGACTGCAGACTGGACTCTGAGCGTGGCCTCACTAAATTCTATATTTAATCCACCAGACTGTAACGGCCATCAGAGCAAGGAGACTTGCCTCTCCTCATCTCTGCAGCGTGAAGTGCATGGCGTGGAGGCGGGCGTGACTCGGGGCAGGTGGCGAGAACACATCTGTAAGCACGTCGGGAGGGTGGCCCCAGGTTCAGCAAAGGAAGCCATGTGTGGGTCCCAAGTCACACAGGCAGAACACGGGCAGCCCAGGGATGGCTAACAGCTCAGCCTAAACCTCAACTTAAAGTCCAGAAAGGTTTTTCCTTCCCAAACACACATTCTTCAAATGCTTTTCTCCCTCGGTGGTGTTCTCTCCTTTGGGACTCTGGCATATTATTTGTGTTTCTCTTGGGGCATCAGTTTCTTCCCATCTGAGGCTCAGTTTTGGGGTCTCAGTCCTACCTCCCCAGCTAGACTATACGCTCATTTAGAGCCAACCCCGTGTCTACACTGCCGCTGCTTTCCCACCCCCTAACACAGCGAGTATCTCACAAATGTCAGCTGATGACTATCCCCCACCCATGGCAATGCCTCACCTCTGAACAGCCATGCACAACTGGTCACACCCCAGGCATTATTATCTCCCCCATTCTTAAATAAGTTCCTTTCCAGACTTACCTTCCTTTCATCCTTTAGCCCAGGGCCCCCCATCCTGGCAGGGGTCTCCCTTTGCCACCTGGCTCTACCCCCACCCTCTGAACCCTCTCTGAGCCTCCATTTCTTCATTGGAGAACGAGGGTAAGAATGCTGCATGGATTACCATCAGAATTAAACCAGGGTCACGCACTGAAAATGCTTAGTATGATGGGTACACACAGGAGGTCCTCCACAAATATTTGATACGTTTAACATTTCCCATCAAAACCCTATTTGAGAGTCACAAAAACAAACCCCACCGTCCTCTTCTGCAGACAGGGAAAATGACTCACCCAAGTTCCCACAGTGCCTTAGTAGCAGTCAGACTCGCCAATGGTTCGCCCAGTCAGGGCTTTTTCTCACTAAGATTGGACTGTCCCCTGTGCTTGGGAAGGACACTGCCTGCAGGCAGCCACTGAGTGACGGTTTGGGACCAAAAGGCCTGAGGGCAGCAGCCTGGAAGATTTGTCGGAGCTGTTTCCGGCCACTTCTCTTCCCAGCTGGGAAAGCTTGGGCAATTGACATCATCTCTTTAAGCCTCAGCTTCCTCATCCGTGAAATGGGGCTGATGAAAGTCATGCCTGATCCACAGGATTGTGGTGGGGCAGCAAGAGGAAGCTTCCCCAGGGCCCGCAGTGATAGCGGTCACCTTCGCCATAGAGAGACCGGCTGTGTTCTCTCTGGGCATTTTTCTTTGCTTGTCGCGGCCACTAAGCTGGCCCTAGTGCATCCCTCTCCCTGTCACATCTCGCCCTTCCCCTGGTTCCTGTCTCAGTCTCTGCTAGGAGGGCAGCCTAATGTCTGGGCTCTTCCTATTCCCTGAGTGACACTGAGAGCCAGGGCCAGGGGATAGAGATGAGCCTCCGCTCTACTCGAGGAAGAGGGAGATGGCTCTCTAGACTGGAGAGTCTAGCTCTTCCAGCCAGGGTTCTGGACCCCAGGCAGATGGGAAGGAGCCTGGGAGAGCTGGGCACAGACCGGCTGGGGAGGAAGGTTGGGCTCCTGGCGGCCAGGTGGACTGACCTGGAGCACTCCTGCTTGTAGATATCAATGATGTTCTCCACCAGCAGATTCCTCTGCAGGCCGTACACTCCGTGACGATCCATGATCACCTCGTGGCGGCAGGAGGGGCAGCGGAAACGGCCTCCAGACATGGACACGGAGCCAACCCGGTTGGTCCAGAAGGGATTTGCAGCCTGCAGGTGACAAGGACAGAGGTGAAGCCTGGGACAATCTCTGATTGTCCTTCTTCCTGCTCCCCCCAACCATTCTTGTCAAACCATTTGACCTGGAGCTCCCCACCCTGAGATGAGAGCCAGCCACTCACAGCGGGGAGCACCTAAGAAACAGCTAAGCGAGTCTGGGATCAGCAGACCTAGGTTCAAGTCACGGTCATCTTCTGAATGACTTTGGACAAGCAACCTTCTCGCTCCAAGCCTCCAACCCATTCATGCAAGGGGCATGATTATTAGACCCAGCTGGGAAGGCTGCTAATTTAAAGATCAAACTGTGAGAGAACATTTTGTAAAGTGCTTCTGGGAACCTTGAGTCCTGCCTCTTCTCATTCCCTTGTGAAGCACATGGATTCCCTCCAGCCCCATATTATATGGAACCGGCCTCGAGAAGGAAGACGCCTCTACTGCCCAGTGTCTCCTGGCCACCTTCCTCCTCCTAAAGCTCTGGGCCCCCTGCCACCAGAGAGCTGGCTCCAACCCCTGGGGTCTGGTTTCTCTCTCCTCTCCGCCTGCCTCTCCCACTTATCGCTTGAGGCATTTGACTCCTGATTGGAGAGTCAACTGCAGGCTCAGGGCAGCGGTGGGGGAGCTGGGGGCAGGGTGGGGACGGGAAACACGCGTCATGGAGAAGGAATGGGGCAGCCAGAGCTGCCCCCGAGCCTCCTTCAGCCCCTAGGTCTCCTCTGGGACTTTCTCTGTCTGGGAGAAAGCCAGCCCTTGTTTAGAAGCCCTTGACTAAGAGAGAATGGCTTTCCACGACAGGAATGGTGAGCCGCCACCTGGGGCCCGGGACTTGGCCCCGCCCGGAACTGACCTGGAAGATGTCATTGGCACACTTCCGGCAGAGATTGTGTTGACAAGGCAAGATGACCACTGGCTTGGTAAACATCTCAAGGCAGATAGGACAGATCAGCTGCTTCTCCAGGTTCTCCATGGGGTTCCCATCCTGGATCAGGCTTGATTTATAATCCATATTGTCGGGAGCTGTGGGGGTTCACCTGGCTGCCTCCTTCACCTGCTTTACTCTACGCAGACCTGGGGTCTTGCCTTTGTCACAAAATACCCACACAGAGCCTCTTTGCCTTCTTCTCCTGGCGCCCGAATTCTGTCTTGGTCTGAGGCCCCTCTGATATTTATAGCCGGGTCCCGGTCACATGAGCCCCAAGAGGGGACCAGCTGAGCATTCCGATGCCAAGTGGCTGGCTGGGGCTTGAGTTTCCTCCAGGCCTGAAAGACCGGCCCTCTCAAATCACATGGAGGGATGAGCAATCGCTGTTCTCCCGGGAGGAGGGTCGTAAACAAGAACAGCCTGTTCGTGGGCGGGCGTGGGGGGAGGAAAGGCTACCAGAGTTTCCTCCAGAGACTAGTCTCCCAGACCAGGCAGGTAAGCTAGCAAGGGGACCCAAAGAGTGGGGCCACTGAGATTTGCAGGATTAATCGCCAGAGATCCCTCACTGCCCTCAACCTCCTCCTCTAAAGTAACCGAGTAGCTCCCGAGAAGAGGGGTCAGGGCAGCCCTTCTCTCTGAGCCCATCCCTGAGCACAGAATATTGCTGGACATCTTGAGACCCCACCCCAGCGAGCCCATCCCTCCTGCATCCATTGGCCACTAACTTCACTCTAATGTTGAAAGGGCTTCCTTGAGACATAGTCCAGTGCCCTTGTGGGGACCCTGAGGTCCAGAGAAGGAAAGGAACTTATTCACAGTCATTTAGTAAGTCAGTGGCAAAGCCAGGAATCTTTTTCATTCATCAGACATTTCTCTGAGTACTAACTATATATCAGGCACCAGAGTGACAGCTAAATGAGTAATCCTTCTCCCTGCCCCGAGAATCTCACAGCCCAGGGAGGGAGGCAAACAGAAATTGCTATCATGGGTGCCGTGAAGCCCTACCTGGACACTTAGAGGTTATCCAGATGTTCCCCTTTGCTCTCTGCACAAATTTAAATTTTTCTCTACGTTATTCTGGACACCTTCTGTGTTGGCAGGTAGAAATTATTAGAGTAAATTAAAGATTTTATTTATTTATTTATTTATTTGACAGACAGAGATCACAAGTAGGCAGAAAGGCAGGCAAAGAGAGAGAGGGAGAAGCAGGCTCCCCGCTGAGCAGAGAGCCCAATGCGGGGCTCGATCCCAGGACCCTGAGATCATGACCTGAGCCGAAGGCAGAGGCTTAATCCACTGAGCCACCCAGGCGCCCCCCAATGGCTATTTTTAAGGTAGAATCTCACACAAAGTGATATAGGGCCAGCCAGTGGCAGGTGCTGGGGCAAGAGTGGGGGCAGTGACAGTGGGCCTCAAGGATGAGCCTAAGATACCATAGAACATACAGGAATGTCCAGGGTCTCACGAAAGAAGGGTGGTAGGAGAGGAGGTTGGATCCCCTCCACCTGAAGAAAAGTTGATGGTTAGAGCCCTGAGAGAAGACATAGAGGAGCCAACTGTGGGGTGAGGGGAAGAAGTGGGAGGGAGAACCAGTCACAGAAAGAGGAGGAGGCCCAGAGGACAAGAGGCTAGGGAATTTTTTTTTTACAATTTTATTTTTTAGTAATCTCTATACCCAATGAGGGGCTTGAACTCACAACCCCAAGATCAAGAGTCCCATGCTCCACCAACTAAGCCAGCCTGGCACCCCATGAGACTGCGGAACTTTAAGGAAGGGGTGGTCCCCACCAAAATGTTAATGGCTAGTTTTTGCTGAGCACTTACTTAGTGCCAGGCACGATGCTAAGCGCTTCGTAAGTGTTATTTCATTTTATTACCCCAACAGCCAGCAACGTAAGACCTGTTCCATCCCGATTCCACAGATGAGGAAACTGCAGTACAGAGCATAACATAGCTGCCATGAAGTAACACAGCTTTCAAGAAATGGCTCTAGGACATGAACGCAGGCATGCTTGACTCAGGAGCACAAGCTCCCTTTGTTATTTATTTATTTATTTACTTACTTACTTATTTTTAGAGAGAGTGCACATGTTTGAGCAGAGGAAGGGGCAGAGGAAGAAGGAGAGAGAGAGAAAAAACCAGATTCCTCGCTGAGTGCGGAGCCCAATGGGATGTGGGGCTTGATCCCACGACCCTGAGATCATGATCTGAGCCAAAATCAAAAGTCAAAAGCTCTACCCACTGAACCATGCAAGTGTCCCCCAACCCCACCCCAAGCTCCTTCTATCTTTCTTCTCTATCTACTGAACTGCAGGTCAACACTGCCAGGCCAGCTACGGGTTGGAAGATGGGGAGGGTTGGAAAGAGGCCATCCCTTCTTCCTTGCTCACATCTCAGTTTTGTTCAGATATCAGACAGCACTGTTCTCCGGGAAGGTGGACCTCTCCAAGGCTACGGGAGACTAAGGCTTAAACCTATCATGCTAATCCCATTCTCCTTTGCCTTGGTGATATAGCTATGGCCTAGGAGACCCAAAAGGCTCGAGGAAGTGGGGGAAGGATAAAGTGAAGGGCAAAAGGAAAGCTTCATTCTTGCCTTTGAATGGGGCTGTGAGAGGGTGGGGCAGCTAGCTTACAGCCAAGATGGGAGACAAGTCTGAGGGACACATCCACTCCCTGAAAACAACAAGAAGGTTCTGTAGAAAGCACAGGGAACATTGATGCCATCACTGTGCTGCCAATTTACCCATCCCTGGAACTGCCCCCCACCTGACTATTTAAGATCTGAGATAACAAATGTGATCGTAGTGGAATTACTCTGTTACTTGCAGCAGAGAACATTGTGTGTACATTCAAGGCTCTACCTCCCATATGCCAACAATTCTCACATCTCTTGTTCCAGTTCAGACCTCTCTTTTCCTTAAGTTGAAGATTTGTTGGAGATCTCTACTGGGATGTCCCAACAGCCCCTCGACTCCTCATACCCCCCAAACAGACCACACCATCTTTCCCCACACCTAGCTCTTCCTTGCATTTTCCTTGTCTCGTGTCTCAGTGAACACCACCACCATTCACCCATTTATTTGCACAGACCAAAAAGCTGAGAGCTGGCTTAGGGCTCCCCATCCCCTCATTGCACACCTGGTCAATCTCTGCATCAAGCATGGGCCCATCTTTGCTTCCCACCTGTCATCTACCATCATCTGTTTGTGAGTCTGATTCTCCCTCTGGACCTTGAAGACTTTGAAGGTAAAGGCTGCCTCTGTTGATTCTGTACCCCCAGTACCTGGCACACAGTAGGCACTCAACAAATACTTCTTAAATGAGTGGGGAGTGAATGAGTGAGTTCAGTAAAGGAGCAACAGGGTCACTGTCAGACTAGGGAAAGATTAAGGTACTTGAGCAAGTTTTTTCGGCGGACACGTTGGAGAGAAAGTACTGGAAGATTGGGAGGGGAGGGATGGAGTAAATGATCCAGCCTCAGAAAGGAGGACACTCTGTGTCTTAAGTTGGGAGGACAGAAAAGAGAAGATGGAGGTGAGAATCAAATGCTGGGAAGGGGAGAGAAAAGTGGTCCTATGATGATCTCAGACAAGAATGAGTTGAGGCCAACTTCTGAGGCTTAGCAGGGGGGATCGGAGCATTAGTGGGCAGACCAGCCAGTGCAGGCCCGCAGGAGGAAGTCCCCTAGAGAGGGCTGAAAGGGCTGTGCGAGGGCAGAGGAGCCTTGCTGGTGTTTCATAACCATAGTTTTCTATTTGCGAGCGGCCATTCACATGGTTCCGTTGACTTTGTCCAGGACATTTGGCAGTCCAGGTGCAAAAGTCACGCAAATGGACAGTGGGATCCACTCCAGCCTGGGCCTGGGCCAGGCCAGCGCTGCTGAAAGTCAAGAGGTGAGGAAGGGGAATTCCCACGTGGGCCATGCTGGGCATCAAAACATGTCTTGTCACTTAATCCTCCCAACAGCTCTGCAAGGGTGTTATTATGATCTCTGTTTTATTTCCCAGGAGGAAACAAGGCTAAGAGAGTTAATTGGTCAAAGTCACAGAGCCACAAGTGGCAGCGCAGAGCTGGATTTCACATCTAAGACGGATTGACTTCTTACCCGGTGCTCCTCATGCTGAAGCATTTACTGAGTGTTTCTTGCGTGCTGGGCATTGTGTTAAGTCCTTCCCGTCCGTCCTCTCTTTTTCAGTCCTCAAAATAACTCAGTGAGGCACAGATCATGATTTTCCCTGTTTTGCAGCTGAGCAAGGAGGCTCAGAGAGGTTAAGTCACTTGGCAAAGTACCCCAGCCAGTGAGTGGCAGAGCCAGGATCAAAACCAAGATGTTACAAACTAGTATCATTACCAGTTGCTGGAACATACTGGAAAGCTATGGGCTGACAGATGAAGAGACAAACAAGGAGTATCAGTGTTGGTCTGATTCCGAGCTTTCGACTACTATGTTTTACTGTCTCCCTCTTTGCATGTCTCCTTGCTTATTTATTTATTTTTAAGCTTTAATTTATTTATTTGAAAGAGAGAAAGTGAGTGAGAGAGAGAGAAAAAGCATGAGCAGGGGAAGGAGCAGACGGAGAGGGAGAAGCAGACTCCCCTCTGAGTAAGGAGCCGGACATGGGGCTCAATCCAAGGACCCTGGGATCATGACCTGAGCCGAAGACAGATGCCCAATCCACTGAGCCACCCAGGTGCTCCAATTTTTACCGTTTATTAATGAAAATTTCAAACCCACAGAAGTAGAGAGAAGAGTATAATCAACTCATGTAACCAAATCCAGTTTCATCTGCTACCAACAGTTCCCAATCTTACTTCATCTACACCCACACACACTTCTTTTGTCTGAAACATTTTTTTAAAGATTCTTTTATTTATTTGACAGAGAGATAGAGTGTCACCAAGCACAAGTGGGGTGAGGGGCAGAGAGAGAAGGAGAAGCAGACACCCCGCTGAGCAACTTCCTGCTACGTGGGGCTCGATCCCAGGACTCTGGGATCATGACCTGAGCTGAAGGCAGACTCTTAACCGACTGAGCCCTGAGTCTAATATATTTTAAAGCAAATCTTAGACATCAAGTAATTTCATCCATAAATACTTGAGTAAGCATTTCTAACCTATAAGGATTTTTTTTTGTACATAATCACAATGCCATTATCATATCTAACAAAAATAACAAGAATTTCTTGATATTATCTAGTTTCCAAGCCATTTTCAGAGGACACAGATTGCCTCAAATGTCTTCTTACAGTTCATTTGTACAAATGAGATCCAAATAAGGTCTTACACATGGCATTTTGGT